AACCGCACACCTTCAAAGACTCAACCGCACACCTTCAAAGCTCCAACCGCACACTCAATGATTCTTCAAATTGACACTGAATTGGCTATGATACCAATTGTTAGTCCCAAATCTATAGATCCAAATCAGTAGTCAATGAATTACAAGCAATCAATCAGAGTGTAGACAGAGTAGAATGAAAATAACATCAAGCATGCACACATCTATTATTCATAAATTCCAGGTACACCTTGAAAAAGCACACACATATACATCCACGTTGCTATTCATACATACTTTTTGACACACTGACACAACCTATTTATACCAAAATCAGCAGTCGCACACACGTGTACGACCGCACACAGCATGTGCGGCCGCACACACGTGTATGGCCGCACACTCCCACTAACATACTATGACCACAAAAATACACTCTAACATCTCACCAAGACCTATACAAGATGGATTCCTAGCCCAAACCACATAATTATGACCTAACAAGTATGGGTCCTCTGCTTTCAGTAGTAAGGGCCCATACTACCTGCCACATCTACCCATACTCTCTACACTGACCAACCCAAAGTCCCTAAGTAGTTGCTTAACCTTCTCAATCACAAATCCCAACACGCATGCTTGCTTCCTAGTGAAATGCTCAACTTTGTCAACGTACTCATCTGACTAAGGTCACTTCCTAGGCTCTTCCTAGGTTCTTACACTTCTCCGCCATCAGCTGTTGAGAAAATCCTTATGATGCCAATCATTTATCTCCTGAATATCGTCACATTCACTTGGTAGCTGACTCCCATCATCGGGAGTTCCACAAAGCACGAAGCAAGCAACATTCGGGCATCGAATAAACACGTAAAACCCACTCTAGGTGATAACTCCACTTGCTCTACTCATACCCAAAAGATATCACTGAACTATGAAACTCTACCCCTCGCGGGTATCTAACTACTCTTTCGATAAGCTCCACCAATTCTTATCTAGGTATCTCTCCTAGATTACTCTTCTACTCAGATCCCTCTCTAAAAAAGATTCCTGTTGGATACTTTTACTCCGCACATACTTAAAAGAAATTCACAGATAGTAGTAACTCCTAGGCTAAGGCATCACAAATCAAGCCACTCTAGTCATAAAATATAAAATACCTAGCCTACTCTCTAGCACACATAACATATCTCATAAAAACTTATAACACATAAGTAAGGGTATTTTGGGAAATGACCGTTCGGGCGCTGGCTGATTGTACACATTGCTCATTTCCTCTTTTTCTTAAAATTCTCTTACTCATTTTTAGAAAAATCGTTCATTTTGAAAACTTTTCTCAAATCCTCAGTTTTAGTCTAGAGATACCCGAAGGTGTATCCGAATCCCTCAAACCAACGCTCTGATACCAAATTGTAACACCGTACATTTTCAAACAAAGTTTTCGATTTTAAATTACCAACATCACATATAATAATTCTCAAAATCTCAAGTGTCGATGTCATAACATATTTCAAAATAGTTTTCAAAAGTAATTATCAAAATCCAGGATCCTCATTCATGACTCTTTTCTCTTGTGTGTACAATCGAGCCGCCGCCTTCCAGTGATCCTGATAAGAACCTGAAACACATAACACATAACAGGGTAAGCACGAAGCTTAGTGAGTTCCCCAAAATACCACATACACATATTAGCCACTCGAGGCTATAACTCTGTAGGACCCTCCGGTCTGATGTGTCTCAGTGGGACCCTCCAGTCCCATGGCTCGTTGGACCCTCTGGTCCGGTCTGGGTGAGAACCCTCCGGTCTCACTACTCGTTGGACCCTCCGATCCGGTCTAAGTGAGGCCCCTCCGGTCTCATAGCTCGTTGGACCATCTGGTCCGGTCATAATATAGCATAGTTCGTTGGACCCTCCGGTCCGGTCTAAATATCACATATTATAGCACACATCACATATCACACATAAATTGCATAACTCAGGCAAGCGCATAATACCCTCTCGTCACACATAATTACCACTCTAGGTAAAGTATAGTGAGAAGACTCACCTCGGGTAAACTTGGATGATCTCGAACTCGAAACACTGATCTAGCCTCTGCCTAATCACATACAAAAATTACCTCTAATTAATAATGGCTCTCAAAGGCTAGACTATTCCCTTCCTATGCTCTCTCAGAAGGGTTAAAGACCAATTTACCCCTCCAATGGTCTGAAAGCCCACTTGTTGACCAAACCCTAAAAGTCAACAAATGTCAACCCTAGGGAGTACGTGGCATATACCAGCTCTGTATGTTGGGCGTACACGGATGCTATACAGAATCGGGGATGCTCGACCCCTACGCTGCGCGTACTGGGATTACGCCCAGCATACGACCCAGTTTCACAATCTTCATGATTTTGTTCTTAATCAATTAAGACATAAGCTCATATATCAGATCTGGTCACTGTAATGCCTCTTAATCCATAAAGTCAATGACTTTAAGCCGTTGCATGGCTGTAAAGGTCACTATCACCCAAAACACACCACTTTGTTCCTTAAAGAGCTCATATCTCACGCATGGCTCACTCTTAACGTCCAAGATTGTATTTTTGATGGATCTATATCACAATATACACTGAAAAGGGGTAGATCAAGGTCTATGGAGCTCTTTTACTCATAAAGTCTTCACCTTTGGGACTAAAACCCTAAAATGGTCCATCATGCACAAATAAAAAAGGTTGAGAAAGCTTTGAGGTTTTTACCTTCAATTGATGCCCCAACCTCAGAAAAGCTCAGATCCAAGGCTTACACTCCAACTCTAGCTTCTTCAAGGCACCTTCTTCTATTCAAAAGCACAAAAGAACACTTTCAAGCGCAACCACACACACACACAAGCTCTAGAACGAGGGTTAGTGCACTCTTGGGGTTTTACTCTCTGGAAATAGTGGCTAAAAGTGAGGCCATAATCTTCCTTATATAAGGCTCACCCCCCCCCCCCAATTAGGGTTTCAATCTGAACCTACTACGCCCGACGTACACTATGGTACACCCAGCATACCGGGTAGCCTCCGCCTCAAGAACACGCTCATGAGTACGTGCAGCATAGTCTCCATTATGCCCAACGTACTCAAATGCCCTAGATTCTTTTCAAGGACTAATTTTTACAACTTGAGGAAAGAAAAGGATCAAAGAGCTATACCTGAATTCCGGGATATTACAATTAACACACTCACACTTAAAAGATTTGATAAGATCAATTGTATCATTTTTAATAGTCCCATCTACAAACCCTAATTTATTTCGATCTTTTAGACTTCTAATCATTGAGCTACACCAAATACGAAAGTTTTTGGTCCCAATAAGTTTAATAGTAACTATAGTAGTCATAGAATTATTATATGGGTGAATATACAATGGATCATCAAAATTAATAGAGTTTGCCTTACTTCTACTTGATGATTCATCCGTTGGACCAACCATATTATCAACAACCAAGAAACACAATAGCAATTAAAACACACACCTAAAACACAAACCACTATGATAGCCTTAACGTCCAGATGGTCACCACTGTATGTTAGGGCCCAAGTCATCAATCATAGAGTCGAGAAAAAAACAACAATAGTAGATAGTAGACAAACAAGTAACTGGTGTACTTAAGACAACCAAGATCTCCAACAACTATACTACAAAGATAGAGAGAGGGAGAGAGAGAAAGAGAGAGATAAAGAGAGAGAGAGACAGAGAGAGAGAGAGAGAGAGAGAGAGAAAGAAACAAACAAACAAACAAACAAGAAACCCTCACAGTGTGAATGAGCAAAGAAGACGACTAGTCGACTCCCTTGTTCGTTCTCTACTAGGGTTTATCGGTGATGAACTCCGACCCCTAGAGAGTTATTTCAGACTACGAGATTAATCGAAAAGAACAAGCGTCAAAGTACCAGAGATCCACGTCGAAGCTTTAGAGATCAACAGAGAATCACCAAAAAAACGAGAAAAACACCACAAATTGCAATCGGTCAATCTACAAGAACACACAAAAAAAACTCGTAGTACCAGGATCTTAAGGAGATACCAAATATTTGTTTCGGTTTAGGAAAAAAATGTAGAAACCCTAGATCGAAACAATGAACCTAGATTCAACATAGAATGTGACGATCTAAAGAATCCAAGAAAAAAGGAGGTCAAAAAATACCTTTTAGATGACGGTCGGAGAAGGAAAACTTCAATCGAGTGTAGAAAACAAAGAATCATAACCTATTGCTCTGATACCATGTTAAAAACTCTCAAAAACACAGTAGACAACATCAACACTTCATTTATTTCGCTGACCCAGTTGATTTTCATCAACATACAATCAAAACCTCACTACAATCACACTCACTCTCATACAAAAATCTAAACTTAATTATTTGAATGATTTACTAAATACAAACAAGAGTATGAAAACCCTAAATGTAGATACAACGAACATGAGAGAAAAATGAGAGAATACTGCAACTATGTGTGTAAGAATAAGAACATCTACAAGCCATCAGACCTTAAGTATGCGGGACAAACCGGACAATTAGATCCGCATGTTGACCCAAAAGCAATTAACAAGTTTAACTCCTTAATCCATCAAACCTGCATTATTTAAACAAACTACCCACACAAATATGACTTATACTTAAAAACCTGAACAACCAAAAATAACTTACACTTAAAAACCTGAACAACCAAAAATTGTTAAGTTTGAATAAAACCTTATATTTTAACATGATCTTAGTAAAACCTTGTTACAAGAATGTTTATAAGTTTATTAGAGGAAATACATTCGCTTGATTCAAGTTCAACCATCAAAACTTTATAATTTTATGGTGTGATCATTAATCGAATGTACATTAAAAGTAATTAATTTAGTCATACTATCTCAATTAACCTGATTTAACATTTGATTTTATATTGTAAAAAAAAAAAAAAAAAAAAAAAAAAAATATAGGATATCAAAATATCTTACAAAATTTTATAACATGGCTTGAATCGTTGAGGTGGAGCAGGGGTAATACAGGAAATGTAGACTCCTTCCTAGCTAGTCGACCCCTCGTGCACCATCTCTATTATTTGCTCCCCTCTTTTTCATTTTTCATCATTAGTCGCATGCCCTCCTCTCTCCTCCTCCCTCTTAATTAACTTTAAACCTCTCTTCCTTTTAGTTTTATTACTCAAAACACCTTCTTTTTTTAACAGTTGACATTGCAAATATACTTGAAAGTTTTTGAATGCCCCACATAATTTATGGACCCACCTTTCTTCCAACTGGAACGTAGAACAGGAGGCTGTGGTGGTATATTTATACCTCCCCAAAACCTTCCCATTACCACCACCTCCTCCTCTCGACATCCCTCTCTCGGTCACCGGAGTACCTGTATCTGTCTGTGTGAGCTTAATAACTTGTCCTCAAATGGCGGAAACCGGTGGTGGCATCACCGTCGCCCATAGAATTAAGGGATGGTTCCCGGAAAGGACTCAATTGCACTTGGCCATGCTGGCTTTGCAGTTTGGTTATGCCGGTTTTCATGTCGTTTCAAGAGCTGCCCTTAATATGGGCATCTCCAAGATCGTCTTTCCAGTCTATCGAAACCTCCTCGCTTTCTTCCTCCTCCTCCCCTTCGCTTATTTCCTCGAAAAGTAAGAATCAACAAGTATTCTCTAACTTTAATAAATATGAAAATAAATGATATCATGGATTCTGACATGGTTTTTTCTTGGGTTTTGTTCAATCAGGAAGGAACGACCTCCGATTAACTTTAACTTTCTTGTCCAGTTCTTCCTTCTCGCGATCGTTGGGTATAGTTTTTGAATCCAACACATGCAAATCAAAGTATACGATTCTTTAGGTTTATATATTGTTTTCTGAAATCCGTATTATATATCTTTGTATCAGGATTACAGCGAACCAAGCTTTCTACTTGTTGGGTTTAGACAACACTTCTCCGACGTTCGCCTCCGCCATTCAAAACTCCGTTCCCGCCATCACATTCCTCATGGCAGTGATTCTCCGGCAAGCTCTCACACACCTTTAATCAATTAACTAATTTACCCTTCAACTAACCCAATGGCTACCTTTTAACTAATACGTCCAACTCATTACAACTACAGGATAGAAAAGGTGAGACTCGACAGAAAAGACGGGATATCCAAAGTAGCCGGAACTGTATTCTGCATAGCCGGAGCATCGGTGATCACTCTTTTCAAGGGTCCAACAATATACAGCCCATCGCCGACACTACACAGTGTTAGGGAAGCTTCGCCGGTGTTGCAGTCACTCGGAGACGCAAACGGAAAAAGCTGGAGCCTTGGGTGCGTATTTCTAATAGGCCATTGCTTATCATGGTCGGCGTGGCTGGTGTTACAAGCTCCGATCCTAAAGAAATACCCAGCTCGATTGTCGTTCACATCGTACCAATGTTTCTTTGGAGTCCTACAGTTTCTTGTGTTAGCCGCCTTCATGGAAAGAGACATCAATGCTTGGTATATTCGTACTGGTGCTGAGCTATTTAGCGTGTTTTATGCTGTAAGTCACTTAGATTTTTTGAATAATTGAAGTTGACAAGGATATATCGATCGCATATGCATATTTGATTTTTCAAAGATAAAGAATACATGGAAAAGGTGGTATTTAATGCATGTGTGTTGTAATGCAGGGTGTGGTGGCATCTGGGATCGCATTTGCTGTACAGATATGGTGCATAGACAGAGGTGGCCCGGTTTTCGTGGCCTTGTACCAACCGGTTCAGACCCTCGTGGTTGCTCTCATGGCTTCAGTCGCTTTAGGGGAAGAATTTTATTTGGGAGGGTATACACACTTATGACTTAACCATCACAACCCTACCACACACGTGCACACATACTACTCGTACCCATCCCTCTTTACTTTTGTACCTATAATACCTTACATTCACATTCAACCCTCACACTCATAGTCTCGTATCGACATTTAACAACACTCACCGATCAAAATCTTATATCAACTGCACACAGTCTCATTTGATTCTGTATATGTTTATATACAGATCAGCTAGATATAGTCTCATTTGATTCTGTATATGTTTATATACAGAATTTAATCATCTCATATCGGCCGGAGACAGTCTAATTTGATTATGTATATGTTTATGTACAGAATTTGATCATATCGGAGATATGGTCCCATTTCACTCTGGATATATTTTATATAGAGTCTCATTTGTCCCTATATATTATTGTAGGCACGATGGCATTTCACTTTGTATATGTTTATATAGTGTCTCATTTGTGCGTAGGATTTTCTCTTTGATTAGATTTTCTTTCTCGTTAATTAAGGAGGCTTTGAAGAGAAAATGAAGGAGCAAAAACCCTAATAAATTATATGGTAGTAGTGATGTAGTTGGAGCTGACAAACCCACATGCACTTGTACAACCCCTAGCCATAAGGTTATCTATGTATAGTGGGTCCAACCTTACACGTGAATTCAACAACTAATATTGTGTGGATCCCTAATTTATAACGATTTCTATGGTTTAGAAAAAAAGTTATTCAGTCAAAGATGAAGGAGAATATTTTGTATTTATGGTTTTACAGGATAATTGGGGCAGTGTTGATCATAACTGGATTGTATCTTGTGTTATGGGGAAAGAATGAAGAGAGGAAGTTTATGTTACAAAAGCAACCGGGTATGATCCAAGCGGAAACGGATCATGGTGCACCGAGGACAACGGGTCATGTCAAGTCATCCATCACCCAACCTTTACTCCCTCAGTCGACTGAAAACGTTTGATTAGTATTAATTAACCTTACGTTTATTTTTGTAACTAGTGTGTATTATTGCTGGGACTTCAAATCAAAACTAAAGAAGTTACTAGGCATCTATTAATTATGTGAGAAAAAAAAAAGTTTGGTGTGTTTTATGAACCTTTTGTTTGGGTGTTCCCGTTTTTAGTGTTGGAATGATTAAATTTAAGGTTACTTATCTTATTATGTACGAAAATTTGTATTTCATATCGAGTTTGGTTGTTTAATTAGAAAAAGAAAAAAAATGAAGTAGTTTTGGCTGGTAAATTTTGTTGTAGAGAAGATTTGGGTAATTTGAAAACATTACGTGTATATTATTGACTTATTGTATGAATATGATATTTGTATATATTAATATTATATGTATATATAATTGTTTATTCCAAAAAGGATATGGATGTTTCTTTTGGTTGTGTTTATATTCATCATGGGAGCATGCCCTCCTGCTTTTGAATAAAGGAAAGTAAGAGGAAATGCCAAGGGAAGAATGTGATTATTAGTGTTCCTTAATGTTGGGACCATAGACTGTTAATGGTTATTTAAGGGTTTTATTTATTAAAAGTAGATTTGAATAGCAATAATATCATAATATATGATTTGCTATGCGGTCTTAACAGATTATTTGTCGATATATTTAAAAACGATTTGAGAAAGACAAAATGTCTTAAACTTGTCAAGAATAGCAAGTTGAAGGTCGGATTTGTTATAAACGAGTGATGATGGGTGTGTTGTGGCGAGTTTATTAATGTTATATTTTCAACCGAATAAACTAATATAAAGTATTGATATGTAAGATTATTTGCTTAATTTATATATTTGATATGTATATATGCAAAAAGAATTAAGAAAAGTGCATTACCGAATTGAAAAAACAAAAAAAGGCTAAAATGATCGTTTTAAAGAAATTTAACATAGGATAAGAACCTCAAGGAGCAAGGGTACAATTATTGCCAATCAAATTGATCATCCATATAAAATTTTAAAAATTGATTTTTAGACCGGAAGGTATAAATAAGAAACTTTCTATTTTTTGTGGGTCACAACATTATTTCTTCCTTATTTTTCCTTTCTCACTCTTTTTTAATTTAAAAAAATATATATTTCCTACAAATATTATACTTATTTTGTAAGGAACTAAAACCATGAATTTTGATATATATATATATATATATATATATATATATATATATATATATATATTATATATATATTTATAATTTTTAGTAGATCTATAATTTAATAAGTATTAAAAAATATAAAAAAAGTTGACCAATAGGAATAAGAGAGAGAGTGAGGGAATAGGCTCCCTCACCTCATTCCCTCACCACCTTTCCCTCAATCAAAATGCGGTGTTCAGCTGAGAGGGAAGCTGAAAGGGAAAGCTAATCACCCTTTTCCTCACCCACACCATCTTGCCTTATGTAAAACAAATGTACAATACCAACATAAGGACCAAAACCATAATTAATCTATTTCTTTTTAGAATGAAAAGCTACATGGATCAAAAATAGAAAATTTTAAATTAAAAAACTAAAAGGACCAAAATTGTATATACTCCATTGTAAAATATAGGGACAAAAGCTATAATTAATCAATTTTATTTTAAAATTAAAAATTAAATAAAAGTTTCTGTCATATGCATTTTTATGATGTTTAGTCCAAACCTTGATTTTTTTGGATTCATGATTATGATTTTATTTGTTAGTTTTGTTGAGGATTTGACCCCTCAGTTTATTGTAATACCTTTGGGATATTTTTTATTTTTCTTTCATTTTTTTAAAATCTAATACTCATTTATTTATTTAAACAATTAAAAAATAAGAGGGTCTCTTTCTCTCTCTCTCTCTCTGTCTCTCTCTCTCTCCCAACTAATTGTCTTTGAAGACTTAAATCTCTCTCTACAGGTTCTTCCAATCTGGGTCTTTTTGATTTCCATAATTTATTCGGAAATTCGTTTTTTTGATTCTTTTACCCGTGAAGCTATTTTACAAAAGTATAGATCTTTGTGAGGTCTAATTGTTTGTTATTGATAGTTATGTTATTGGTTTGATGATTCATTCAAACCTTTTAAAGCTTGGATGATTCAAACCTTTTAAGATTTACTGAAGAGGGGGGGGGGGGGGGGGGGGGAGAAACTAGCATTTAGGATTTACAAGAGTGGTTGGAATTGGAGTGAAAGAGGATACACAAAATTAGAGATAATGAAGACGCACAAATATTGGTGGTTGTACTTTTTCATCAATTGCTCAAAGAACAATAAAAAAATAGTGGTTTCTTTTTTGCAGGTTTGAGATTGAATAGTTGAAACTGAAAATATCATATGCCTTTGGCTACTCGATATTCTCTTTTGGGAAGATCGACATTCTTTATACTCACATCTAGGTTAAAGGATTGGAATTCCTCATCGCTAATCTTTATCAATCGCCCTGGACATGCCCTTTTCTATTTGAGTAGATGTATATAGATCAAGAATTGATGGCATAACATCCAAAACTTACAAAACCCTTAGACAACCTGCAACTAAAATAAAGGTTTGGCATCTAAAAAGAAACCCATAATTGAACGTGTTTATCGTGTGTGTCCTTTGAATCGGTTGTTGAATTAGAAGGCTTGAACTAATGAAATCAAGTTTTGAACATATTTTTATTCGTCAGGGCTGTACGGAAGGAGATGAAATCTGGAGTTGAGGTATAGAGCAAAATCGGAGGTCCAAGAACACATACATCTAAAATCGGAGGTCCAAAAAAGGGATTTAAAAAAGAAATCAAGAAATCTATTTGTATATGTGTTCTTGTGAGTTTCAAAATCGTTGTGTTCTTATGTATGAGAGAGAGAGAGAGAGAGAGACCCTGTTATTTTTTAATTATTTAAATAAATAAATAAGTATTAGATTTTAAAAAATAAAATACAAATAGAAAATAAATACCCTAAGGGTATTATAGTCATTTCGGTTTACTGAGAGATCAAATCCGCAATGAAACTAACTCAAAAGGACCACAAAGCCAAAAAAGTCTATGTTTGGACTAATCCTCATAAAAATACATACCATAATGACAATTTTTTCAGTTTTATCTTAAAATTATATAGACTAAAAGAGTAATTTTTTAAACTAAATATTACAAAAAATAAAAGTGAAATTAAACAAGTTCCTATAAATTGAAAAGATAGCAGAATATGATAATTGCAAAAATTAAAAGAAAAACATCAAAAACACAAAATATAGGTGTAAATCTTTATAGGAAACAAAAGAACTTAATAATGATTATTGTATTGACGGGCATTATACGAGTGTTACAAATTATCGTAATGATAATCAAAGAACCATTATACATATAAACCATTACTAAATAAGATGAAATAACTAAAAGTATGACAATATATGACTAAATAGAATGGAAAATATAACATCTGTATAGTTTTATATAACAGTGTTACGAATTTATGATAGTCAAAGACCCATTATACATTACTAAATAAATAAGTGTCTTAATAACCATAATATAAATCCTTAATATGTTATATTTTCATTATTCATATTAAAAATGGATACGCAAGATTAATGAAACATAAAAGAAAAGTATTACTTTAATGAAACAAAGACAAATGAGACACTTTCATAAAATGTTGCACTACTAGCAACATATTGTCATGTAATAATAGGATTTCATATCAATTTCACTCGTATCTTCATAGCTAGATTTTTAAAAGCGACCAGTTAAATTTTATCTGTTGTGAAAGAAAGTCAATGGTAACTAAAACCAAAGGTTATTAGTTCATTCCCAATTTATTCAAGTAATGGTCTATCATATTAACATTCTACTTTTTAAGGCTCTACTTGGTAGTCTTGGTTTGTACTAATCCTCTTTATTCATAGTCCCATCAAAAGTGAATTATATATCAGAAGGTTTGTGATATGGATTCTCTTATGGTGTTAATAGTGATAAGAAAAAAGTTACTTAGATTTCTTGGGACAAATTGTTGGCTATTAGAGATTTCATTGACCTTGGAATTGGTAGTTTCGGTGCACAAACCTTGCCAACCTTGCTCTAATCAAGAGATAGTGGAGGTTTTATAGCGAATCTTTGACTAGTAAGAGAGTAAGGGTATGGAGTGTTATTATCAAATTGTTCAAATCACTTTACCAATATAATCTCCCTAATTGCTCAGTTTCTCAATATCCATTGATTCTGAATGTAACGTTCATTTCTAGACATATATTTATACGGGGAATGTCTGATCTAGTGCATATCATCGTATACGTAATGCTGCCAACTAATAATATGAAAAAGGCCTTGGCCATTCCTTTTAGGTCATTCTCTCTCTTTAGAGATTGATTCTTTGAAAGTCCTAAGTGACTTCTAAAATGCATATGTCTAGGATTGCTCCTATCAATACTGTGACAACCCGATATTTCAACTCTTTGTAATGGCCTAATAGGTCAAGTATTGTAACCATTTTTGAGTTAATCAAAATAAACGTTGGTAATAAAATGTACAAAAAGTTTCTATTTAACTACCTACTATGTTTTATATCATTAAACCGGGATCGTGCGTAAAAAGAATGCCCAAACCCGACTTCGTATATTGAAGTTAAGATTTTTCCAAATTCGGTTTAGCAACAATCAACTGAAAACTCGAAGCAGAGATCGAGCGACTTTTGGCCGGAATGACCTAAACGAGAATCGAAGGTCTCGACGATGGTTGTTCAGCGGTAAAAAGTCTGGCAAAAACCGACGTCAGATAAAGAAGTTATGAATTTTTAAAGAAATTCCTTAATCACGCCATTTTAATAAATAAATAATAAATATAAATTCGGAATTTGCTTACGGAATATAAACGAAAGTTGTAGATCGTAGTCTCACATTCGCGGGGATATAAAGAACGTCAAAAATGGAGTTCGTATGAAGGAGATATGAATTTTTGAAGTTTGATAAATAATTTATATATATTTTTTATTGAAAACTACGGTATTATCCGAAGTTTGAGTCACGCACGTACGCCCCGTGTACACGAGTACGCCCAGCGTACTCGAGGCCACGGCCTCAGATCGTCCATATCGCCCCTATGCGAGCCTACCCCCCGTCCCATCCGAAGTGCGAGGCAGTCGAGGACTCGGTCATGCGTGACGTACGCGTACGCCCCGCGTACGGAGGCGGTTCCAGCCTCCTATAAATAGGATGCGAGGGTTCCCGAAAAAATTGCTCATTCTCTCTCATTTTTCTTGCGTTTTGCCTCGTTTTCCGTGCTCGCACTACCCCGAAGCCCTAATCATTTTACTCAAGTCCCGAAGGTCGATTTTACTCCCGAGATTCCCGAGGATCCC